GTAGTTGTATGCCTGGGTCAAGAGTTAAGTCACTATACTCGGGATCTTGAAGGCATTCGTTGTTCAAAAAAAAAAAAAAAAAAAAACTTCTTTCGTTGATAATTTATAGATTACAATTTTCATAAATGGTAGTAGAAAAAAAAATGTTTAAAAAAAAAATAATAAAATTTTTTTTTTAAGAAGACTAGTTTAAACGCACCCAAAGGACTGGTTTTAAATCAGGACTGTGCAGTGGCCGGACATTCAAGCGAGATGTGGTCGTCATAACTGGACCTTACAGTAGGACGGATCTCCATCTCAGTCTCACATAGCCAGAAATACGATAAAATTTCGGTTGCGACTATTCGTACCCGGGTACCAGAAGTGAGAGGTTGGGATTAAAAAAACCTATTTAACATTTTATTGTTGGGTTTGTAAGACAAAATGAGGTATCAAATGAAAGATAATTGAATGGGCTATATGTTTGTAAACTTGAATGGGCTATATATTTGTAAACTTAATTCTTCAATTTAACTAAACTACCACAAATGACATCCGAATAGCTTGAGTATAATGGTACCCGGGTGCGAATGGTGGCGCTGCGTGTCTGGGTCCATTTTAGAGAAGTGCCTAGATAACTGGACTCGAACCAACAACATAAGCTTCAGTTTACTAGGCTTAGGCCGCTTTTAGCTAAACATCACAAGTTATACAATTTTCTTCCATAATTTTAAACCTCAGAAAAATTGGAGAGGAATTTCTTTTGAAACAATGTAGCTCAGAATACTGCCATGAATCTGTTCACATTATTTTATAACAGGCTGCTAGCCCCAAATCCTGAAGACCAATTTTCGTAAACCCAGCCGCTGGTCACACCATCCTTACAAAGTCAGTTTTAAAATAACAGCCCTAACACTTGGACACCATCGGTCAATTTTTTTTTCTGTTGAACTAAACACTTCAAATTTAAGGAAACAAAGCAGAAACCTACAATCTATTGTTATGACTTTAATAACCCTTGCATGTACAAAGAACAAAACAAGCTTTACATGAAAGTTTATCAACGTGATGAAGTTTCCAAGGTGTCTCGAAAGGCGACATCCCTGAACATCAACACAATCTAATAGGCTACAAACAAGAAAATTAAAATAAGCAGAATGAATCATGATTAATTTTATACATATAAACATAATTTACATATATAGAAAGTTTTACAGAGTGACTGACCCATCAATCAACGGCGAGTCCAAATAGTTCAGAAACATAAAATGAGGTAAATTAGCGGTACCTTATGGCATAGGCAAGCACTGAACACATATTTTCAGAAAAAGGGATGTGAAGTTTGTTAATAGAGTGACAATATGTGAAGTTTGTTAATAGAGTACTTACACACACTATGTGAAGTTTGGTAACAGAGTACTGTATTCACAATATCTCAAAAACATAATGTTACGGACATGAAAATTTGTTTTTAATTTCTTCTTTGAAAATAAGGTGAAACAATAGTTGTACCATTTTTCAAAATACAATTTTGGGGATGGAACAAACAATTATGGGTACCGGTACTTAAAAAAAAAAAAGAAGATTCCTGTATCTTAAAACTTCCATGGTTTCAAAACCCACACAATTCCCCACAATTAAATTCCCCACACTAACTTGAGGGACAAGGCAGATGCCTAAATACTTTTCGTTAGGTTCAACTCACTGGGGCATTAGAAGGGAAATTTTATGGCAAGTTGAAGTCTTCGGGGCCAGAGCTCCACACCAGTGTGCCATGCGCTGTGGTGCAGTGGCACACTGGAGTGCAGTGGCACACTGGGGTGCAGTGGCACGCTGGTATGCCCCAAGATGATGCCACACATAATGCTTCCTAGAGGAAGAAAAATTAGAGTATGTGTAGGCACGTCAATATGATAAAACTGTATTGCAACAAAAGGGGTACAATGGTTTGCCTACTACCAAGCTGTCAAATTCTGCCCAAACAGAACTGTGTATAAAAGTCACAGAGAGTTAATATAGGGCAATACAGTGTAATCTTATATGCCATTATTAATGTTAACTGCATTAAGTTATTTAGTATATTTGTTCTCCGTTTTACTTTTGGTGTGCTGTATTATTCTCTGAAAGGTCTGTGGAGTGCCGTGGGATCGGTCTGATGTGTGCCATGGGAAAGTTCTGATTAGTGCCATGGGAAAGGACTGATGTGTGCCATGGGAAAGTTCTGATTAGTGCCATGGGAAAGGTCTGATGTGTGCCATGGGAAAGTTCTGATTAGTGCCATGGGAAAGGTCTGATGTGTGCCATGGGAAAGGTCTGGTTAGTGCCATGGGAAAGGTCTGAT